AAAACTTGGATTTGTTTGCGCTCTCGGAGACTTGGCTCCAACAGGACGACTACGTTAGATTGAATGAGTGCACTCCTCCGACGCATGTTAACTACCAGAAAGCGAGAACTACAGGTCGCGGGGGTGGTGCTGCGATTATATCACACACCAACTTGCTTCTAAGCCCTAAAACCAACAATGCCTTTCGTTTGTTTGAAAACTTTCAATCACCTGTCCTGGGTGGAGAAAACAAAAAGCGGTGCTATTTATAGTTTTATACCGACCTCCTGGTCCTTACAGCGAGTTCCTAACAGAATTCTCTGACTTCATTTCAAACCTAGTTTTGGAATGGGAAAACACAGTTATAACTGGAGACTTCAATATACATGTGGACGACAGCACTGACAGCTTAAACAAAGCTTTCAGCGCCGTACTAGATGGTGTTGGTTTTACTCAGAATGTTGAGGAACCTACTCACATTCATAACCACACCTTGGACCTTGTACTGACCTACGGCTGTGATGTCTCTAATGTTGACATCCAGCGTCAAAGCTCGTTGCTGTCTGACCATTTCTTGATCACGTTTGATCTCGATTTGGAGGACTTTCCTGCGCCGCAAGATAAAACCATAATGAAAAGAACCTTAAATGATAAATCTCACACAAGGTTCAAAGAACTAATACAGCCTATGTTGAATACTGCTGCAGGTGAACCTGTTCACAGCTGCTGCAGTCCCTCAGTCATTGACCAAACGGTGGACAACACTATGGAGTCTGTAAAATCTGCATTAAATGCAGCAGCTCCTTTAAAACAGAAAACTATTAGGATTAGATCATCGTCGCCCTGGTACAGTGTTCAACTCCACACTTTAAAACAGGACGTCAGAAAATTGGAGAGGCTATATCGCCACTCCCACTCGGAGCCTGTCCACAGGGATTGGAAAGCAGGTCTCCGAAACTACAAGAATGCCCTTCGCAGGGCTCGAACTCAATACTATTCAACTTTAATAGAAGCGAATAAAAATAAGAGTAGATTTTTGTTTAGCACCGTCGCTAAACTCACAAACTGCCATAGCGCAATCGAGCCTAAAATTCTAAGCTCACTGAGCAGTGTCGACTTCCTCCACTTCTTTAATAATAAAATTACATCCATCCGTGACAAACTGGAGGAGGTTACTCCTGCTGTTGGTAGTGGACAGGCTGAAGCGGCATACGTGACTTCCCACTTAGACTCTTCAGTGGGCCTCGATAAATTCATGGCTGTGAGCCAAGAGGAAGTGATCTCTGTGGTCACATCCTCAAAAGCCTCAACTTGCATGTTAGACGCAGTCCCGACATGGCTCTTCAAAGATATACTTCCTTTGATAATTGAGCCTATCGTAAATATAATAAACGCATCCATACAATGTGGCTATGTCCCACAAGCTTTTAAAACCGCTGTAATCAAACCCCTCCTGAAGAAAACAAACCTGGACCCAGAAATACTTACAAACTACAGACCGATCTCAAACCTCACTTTCATATCTAAAATCCTGGAAAAACGTATAGCTGAGCAGCTTTGCTGCCACCTGCAGGAAAACAATATGTTTGAAGTCTTTCAATCTGGATTCAGAGCTCATCATAGACTGAAACGGCTCTAGTCAAAGTCACAAATGACTTACTACTAGCTACTGATAATGGACAAGTGTCAGTGCTGGTCCTACTGGACCTTAGTGCTGCATTTGACACAATAGACCACAGCATTCTACTGCAGAGGCTAGAATGTGATATAGGTCTAACGGGGGATTTACACAGTAGGCGTAAACAGCGCGTACGCGTTTACTGCGCGCTCTCTGCGCGTAACATTTTTTGCGAGTATCTACACTGACCGTGCGCGCAGGTCCGCGTCTTCTGATGCTCTCCCTGTGTGTGTCTATGGAGCAGTGTAGAGGACAGTACGAGCCAGAAGACTGATGTAGAGCAACACAAATCACATGCATGTGTTTGTCTTCATGGTCTCTGTGCGCTGGTTTGGCCAGACGCCAGACTTTATGAAAGAAAAAAAACGATGTCCAGAATCACTGTAAAACCTGCTGCTCCTCCTGCTGATGTTTAGACACAAGTGCAGTGTGCGTGCAGATGTGATCTAAAGCCAAGGACCGCTAGAAAAATCATGTTTTACATGAGATTTCAATGGGAGACGCGTTGGTGCGCGCACAAAATTAGAAATCCATCCTAAATTAGAGCGCAGCTTCGCGTCACATGTCCGTCATACGCGCGTATAACGCTAGAAGTGTAAATATCATCATAGGTTAACATGGAAAAAAGTTACGCGCGTCTGCTGCGCGTATAACGCGTACGTGCTGTAACGCGTGATGTGTAAATTAGCAGTTAGAGGAACAGCCCTTGGCTTGTTTAAATCCTATTTATCAGCTCGGTATCACTTTGTCATCGTAAATCAGAACTCGTCGCCTTATTCTGGAGTAGAATTCGGTGTGCCGCAGGGTTCGGTACTCGGACCAATTCTTTTCACTCTACATGCTGCCGTTAGGAAACATTAAAAAGCATGGAATTAATTTCCACTGCTGCAGATGACACACAGCTTTATCTGTCGATGAAGCCAAATCAGACAGATCAGCTAGAAAAGCTCAGTGCCTGCATAAAGGACCTTAAAATGTGGATGACTCTTAACTTCCTACTTCTCAACCTGGAGAAGTGATCCTACTCTGTCCGAAGCGCCTGCGTGACCCTCACTAACCAGATAATTACTCTCGATAATGTCAGTATTATACCCAGTAACACTGAGGAATCTGAGTCATTTTTGACAAAGAACTCTCCTTCAAGGCTTATATAAGCCAAGCAACTAAAACGGCGTACTTCCACTTACGGAACATCGCTAACATTAGGAATTTCCTTCCTAAAAGTGACGCGGAAAAACTTATTCACGCGTTTGTCGCCTCAAGGCTTGACTACTGTCACGCTTTACTGGCAGCGTGCCCTAAAGCCTCTTTGAAGAGCTTCCAGCTCGTTCAGAATACAGCAGCTAGGATCTTAACAGGCACCAAAAGGAGGGAGCACATAACTCCGGTGTTAAAATCACTCCACTGGCTCCCTGTGGAGTACAAAATAAAGTGTAAAATCCTTCTCTTAACATATAAAGCCATAAATGGCTTGGCTCCTTATCTCCAAGACACGTTAGTGTCGTATCAACCAAGTCGAGCGTTGCGCTCACAAAACGCCAGACGTCTGGTGGTTCCTAAGGTCTCAAAAATCACTGTTGGCGGCAGAGCATTTAGCTCCAAGCTCCTTTACTGTGGAATCAGCTTCATTTATGTTAAGGAAGCAGATACGGTCTCCACATTCAAGGCCAGGCTTAAAGCACTCTACTTTAATTTAGCATATAATTAGGTAATATATAATATATGGTGTGTATATATATATATATATCTCCATTACTGTCCATGGAAAACGGAAATCCACTTGTGTTTCCCGAAGTATAATCCATTGTGCAGAAATCATCCAAAAACGAGCATTTATTTTTAGCCAGAAAAAAAAAAACTAACAGCACGGACGCTGCTTTTCACTGTTTGCGGAAATGCAGCTTTGCCTTTCCCCCACAAAGAGGGTAGGCTTGTGTTAAACTTACAATGAAGTAAGCCTTTTTAGGGCCTTTAGAAATTGAAAATGTTAGGCGAGGCTAAACTTTTACTTTTACATAAACTAGAAGGCTCTGGCTTTAAAATGGTGCATCACACAAGCATGTGAGATGTAAGATGTGTTTTTAAATAAGCAAAGACATTTGGGAATGCCCAACTTTTGTGCACAAGCCAAAATGAGGCGGGTGTTAAGAGGTTAAGAGTTGTTCCTTGTCGATGCAGGAGGGTCTTGTTGGACAGTTAGGCCCAGTCCCAATACCCACACTGCACCCTACGCCCTCCTATGAAGTGTGCATTTGTCTGAAGTGCGCGCAAGGGTTGGAGTGCGCAGGTTGCAAGCGTGCACAAAAGGCGGAATTGGGACAGTGCACTGAGTGCAGGTTACGTCATCGACTCGTCAAGAGATGGTCATTTTCAGACCTAAACTTTGTCTGACCCTTTGGGAAACAAATTGAATTGCTTCACACACGTTAAAATACATGTATTTTAGGTTGTTTTTAATTAGAGATAGCTGTATAATTTTAAGTTAAATGTGGGTAACTATCTGGTCAGTTTTTGTACATTCTAAGACTATTGTACTAAGTGTAAAGTTTAAATTGAATGTTATATAAACACTTGCTTTAAAAGTTATTAAATTGTTAAAACACAATGTCCGTAATTCTTCATCAGACGTTTATGCTTCTTTCCAAGTAACATAGCAAAACTTATTTACACACATACTGCATATATATTTCAAAATGTATATTTAAATGCATTTTCCCGACGTTTTGGTGTGTACCGCAAAGAATTATGGGCAATATTCTTTGCCAGAGTGCGCATAGATGCAGGCTACGGCGAAGTGTGGATCAGGGGCGCAAAGGGGGCGGGGCCAAAGACCTCCCTGGAGAATTGGGACACCCTACGCACTCGCACACTTTATCGGGAACGCGCAAATGAGGGGCGCGAGGGTGGAAGTGCGAGTATTGGGACGGGGCCTTTGTGTCCAACAGAAAGGATTGGTGATGATCAGGACACTTTAGCATTCTACAACATGTATGGACATGTTCTTCTGTGTGTGCTTTATATTCTTCCTGTGTTTTAACTGTTGATTCTCTGACCTGTGTTGGTGATTTCAATGGTTTTGTTAAGTCCTCTGAGATGACTTCTGTTGTGACCTAGGGCTATACAAGAATACATTGTATTGAGGGGGGGGGCGCTGTGGAGCCGCCAAGCAAGATGGCAGCATAACGTGGTTGTCCCTCACAACTCCACGTAAATCTTAAAAAGTTCCAGCATTAGCGCCTTTTGCAACGCTCACAAGATGTCAAAACAAACAACGATTAAGGACTGTGAAACTACCTCTCGGCTCCGCGGGTCTCAGAAGACCAGAAGCACTGCTCCGCCACCGATGCTATCCCCGGGTGCTAACGCTACAGGTAGCATGGCTGGCCCACATGAAGGAGGCGACCTAGCCGCCGTGCTAAGTGAGCTGCAATCATTACGCACGGATATTACTTCTATCCACGACAAGATGAGCGATATTGCCGGCTTTGGTGACAAGCTGGACAAACTAGAAGAACGTATTTCTGACATGAACAACGCTGTTACTGCGGTACAGGGAGGCTTTACATCTCTGAAGCAAGATATTTCCGCTAATGCTACGCGGCTCAACGAGGCGGAGGACCGCATTGAATCTGCGGAGGAGAGCGTGCAAAGTATGATCGGAGATTACTGCTGCTGCAGAACGTATTGCCTATCTGGAAACTAAAACTGAGGATTTAGAAAACCGTGGCCGTCGGAAGAACCTGAGACTCGTGGGTTTGCCTGAGGGCACCGAAGGAACCCAGTCCATGCTAAGCTACATTCAGCACAAGATGCCTCTCTGGTTGGGTCTTGACCCCGCGGACACTCCATTTACGATTGAAAGAGCACATCGCACGCTGGGCAGACCAAAACCAGGACAGAATCGAGCGGTACTAATCAGATTTTTACGTTTTCAAGATCAAGAAGTGGTGTTCCTTAAAGCTAAGCAACGCACTATCAGTCACGAGGGCCATACAATCTTTTTTGCCCAAGATTTTTCTGCAGAAACCATGAAGAAACGCAGCCAGTTCAACGCGGTGAAAAAGCAGTTCGTTGAAGCTGGATCTTTTCGGGGATTCCAGCTACAACCATGTAAGATGCGGATCTTCCACAACGGGAAGATTGTCACTTTCTCTTCACCAGAAGAAGCTGAGAACTTTCTGCATAAGTAACTTATATTCTTCTTCAATACTTTGGAGTAAAGGTAATCTCAAGTACTTCTCTGGACAAAATCGGGATATTGTTTGAATCGAATGGTTTTGAAAATAGTTATTATTTGTCTTTGATGGTAATTATTTACCTTCTAATTTTATTTGTGCCTTATATACTGCATTTGGCGGAGATTTTACGTTATAATTATATTTTTATTATTGCTGGGACATTATAAACCCATGTGAGGAGTTGTGGGGGTGCCAGTTTGGGCTTTTTCAGGGATGACTCCACAGTTCAGTCACTCCTCCTCTGTGTGGATTGACATCAGCCCTTACACTGTTCAGTTTAAGTAAGGGATTGGGGTTGGGATCAGGGGATTGTTTTTTTATGTTTTGTTTGTTTTTTTATTTATGTTTTGTTCAATATCGCACTCGAAATTGCATTGCATTTAAATTTCTGGAAGATTCAAAATGTCAGACTTGATAATTACTAGCTGGAATGTCCGGGGGCTCAATAGGCTTTCAAAGTTGAAACAAGTTATGAACAGACTTAAAAGCTTAAACTCTAAAATATTCTTTCTCCAAGAAACTCATATTACTAGCTTAGAAATTGAACGGGTACGTCGTAGATGGCCGGGTCAAGTTATCTATGCAAATTACAATAATTATGCAAGGGGAGTTTTAATTCTCATTCACAAAACAATACCTTTTCAGCTCAAAAAGACGATTCAAGATCCTCAAGGAAGGTATGTTATTGCTCAGGGGCATATGTGTGCTCTTGAATTGAATTTGGTGTGTGTGTATGGCCCTAATGAGGACAATCCAAAGTTTTGATGAATTATTTTTAACGGTGTCCTCATTGAATGGTATATATATTATCGGCGGGGATTTTAATTGCACATTGAATCCACTTCTGGATCGTTCTTCAAAATTAGACCCCCAAAAACAAAAATGTAGAAAAAATATACTGCAATATATGGCTGATTTGAATTTAACAGAGATTTGGAGAAAACTCCATCCAAAAAAACTAGAATATTCATGTTATTCTGGATTAAACAAATCCAGATCCCGCATTGATTACTTTTTGGTGTCGCAAGAATTGTTATCAAAAGTGACTAATTGTTGGTATGAATGTTTAGTTATTAGTGACCACCCCAACGTCCTTGTCTGTACAGATTAACAAACTTTCAAGCCCCACCTTCAATTGGCGTTTACAAGTGAGATGGCTACAAAACAAAGATTTTTTAAAATATGTGGAAGAAAGAATCAAAATCTTTTTTGAGATTAATACAGAACAAACTAATGCATGTGTTCGGTGGGAAGCATTCAAAGCTTACATAAGAGGGGTGATAATTAGTTTTGTTTCTACAAAACATAAAATTGAAAGGGAAGACATTGCAAATTTAGAAAACCAAATTAAATTATTAGAAATTGACTCAAATGAGAACAATGATCCTGGAAAACAAAAACAATTACTTGTCCTAAGGACAGAATACAATAAACTAACAGCCGAAAAGGCTGCAAAAAGTCTACTATGGCTCAAGCAAAATTTTTACGACCAGGGGGAAAAAGCTGGTAAGCTCTTGGCATGGAGAATTAAACAAATAGAATCAGAAAAGGCCATTAATGGTATATCTTTACCGTCAGGAGAAATTACAAATGACCCACAACACATAAACGATACATTTAAGGAATTTTATAGATCATTGTACTCCTCAGAATGCTGTTCCACTTCAACAGATTGTGATGACTTCCTCAACAGTCTCCAATTTAAAAAAATAACTGAAGATGTCCAGTCAGATCTGAACGCTGATATCACTACACAAGAACTACTCCAGGCCATTAAGAATATCAACTCTGGCAAAGCCCCGGGGCCGGACGGTCTGCCTGTAGAGTTTTACAAGGTCTTTCAAACTCATTTGTTAAAATCGCTTTTAGATATGTTTAATGAGTCATTAAATAATGGGATCTTACCCCCAACTTTAAGACAAGCTAGAATAATTCTTATTTTTAAACCAAACAAAAACCCGTTGGATAGCTCTTCTTATAGGCCTATTAGCCTCATGGGGGTTGATGCTAAAATTTTAAGTAAAGTTCTTGCTAATAGATTGAATCCTCATATCTCCCATTTGGTGCACAACGATCAAAATGGATTTGTGCAAAAGCGTCAAGGATTTCATAACATCAGAAGGGTTTTAAACATAATTCATGAAAAATACAATACAAAAGACATGGCGCTTTTATCTCTTGATGCAAAACAAGCATTTGATAGGATAGAATGGCTATATTGTTCAATGTACTAGCAAGATATGGGCTTGGAGCTCCCTTTTTAAAATGGATAAAACTGTTGTACACTGGCCCTTCGGCTTGTATAAAAACTAATAATAATCTGTCCGACTATATAGTATTAGAAAGGTCTACGAGACAGGGGTGCCCCCTCTCCCCCTTACTGTTTATATTGGCCATTGAGCCCCTCGCTATGTCTATCAGGGCTGAGGCCAATCTTTCAGGAATAACGGTTGGGGATTTTGAACACAGAATTTCTTTGTACGCTGATGACATCATCTTGTTTCTGTCGGAGCTTGCAGTTAGCATTCCAACTCTTTTACAATTGGTCACTACTTTTGGTAAATTCTCGGGATACAGTATTAACAATTCTAAATCCTCCATTCTTTTTTTAAACAAAGAGGAGCGGTCTCACCCAATCATACATACACCCTTTTTTAATGCAGGAGTCGGGTTTACATACCTTGGAATTAAGATTACTCCTCACATAAATACAGTTATCAAAACAAATTATGACCCGCTGGTGAATGAAGTGAAAGACTCTCTTGAAAAGTGGATGAAAATGCCATCGTCATTGATAGGACGAATAAATCTAATCAAGATGAGCATCCTCCCAAAATTTTTATACTTGTTTCAATCTATTCCGCTTCCTTTGTCAAAGTCTTTCTTTAAAGAAATTAACCGTATTTTTTGCAGATTTATTTGGAATAATAGGAAACCTAGACTGAGGCTTAGATTATTGTACTTGCCATATGATAGGGGAGGCTTACAAATGCCTAACTTTCAGTGGTACTACTGGTCTGCCCAGCTTCGCTCGGCTATGTTTTATTTTTCTATACATCCTCCTCCAGCCTGGATCTCCCTTGAGCAGTCCTCCTCCAAGCTCCCATTGTGCCTTTCTGCAGATCTTCTTAAGACCTAAAATTAAAGAAAAAAACAACAAATCCTTTTCTTAAAAATACTATTGATGTGGCAAAGCAGGCGTTGGATTAAGCTCAGGTGATCTTTTTCAACGATACTTGTTTGAAACCCAACCCTAACCCTAACCCACAAAAACATTTTTTAAGTATTTACAATTAAAACATTTTATCTCATCCAAACATGGTAACATTCTACATGAGCCGCCACTGTCCTACCTGAAGGGAATTGTAATGAAACATATGCAGGTCGGAAGCAAATATCTATACTGTACTCTGCGCTTGTATCTCAAGATAGGGAATCCAGCTTTGACAGGAAGACCGCATGGAGCATGGATATAGGAGAAGATATTGATGAAGTTGAGTGGACATCTGCTTGTTTAAAGGCCCAAACACAAACAATTAATACAAGATTTAAACTACTACAGCATAAGTGGTTAATGAGAACTTACATAACCCCAGAGAAGCTAAATAAATGGTCCCCGGACATTCCAGACACCTGTGTCAAATGCTGTACTGAAAAAGGTACATTAATCCATTGTGTATGGGAGTGTCCGAAACTGGTAATTTTTTGGAAATCGGTCATTAACATATTATACAAAATAGTTGGCATTCAAGTTCCCTGTGTAGCAAAACTTTGTGTACTGGGAATATATCCAGGTGACTTTGTAGCTGAATCTAAAAATAAGACTGATAGACTTTGGCCTCCTGCAGGCCAGGAGGATGATCGCACTGTGTTGGAAAGAGACTGAAACTCCTTTACAATCCTGGATTCGAGAAATGTCACTTAGTGTTACGTTGGAAAAATGTACTTATATTGTCAGAGGCAGAGCACAGGAATTTGAAGATGTATGGACACCTTTAATGCAATTTCTTAAGCAATGACTGTTGCTTTTTCAGAGTGTGACTATGTGTATCAATGTACATATATAGTATGTTCATCTATTTTTTTGCTTGCATGTGTCTATATATGTATACATTTTTGTTTTGTTTTTTTTGTTGCGATTTTATTTTATTTTAGTATTTGCTTCTCTATGCTAGCTTATTTTATATTTTGACATTTTGCAATTTTTTGTTTTTGTATTCTGAAAAAACTAATAAAAATATGGAAAAAAAAAAAAAAAAAAAAAAAAAAGAATACATTGTATGGTAATTGTATTGTAGTGTTGGGCAAGTTAGCTAACTATTTGATATCATAAAACATGCTAACAAGGCTAATATTAGTTTTTACATTAAGCCAGTCTCACTTTGGTTGCCTTAGACTTATTTACCACAATGTACATTGTAATATCCATAAATGCTAATCAAAATAACTTGAATTAAATAAATATTTTACTTTTATGAACAAAAAGCTGCAGAAGTTGAAAACATAGACTACATGTGATGCAATCATTGATAAAAAAATGCTAATTAAACCGTTAATAGGTGTTAGCATTTATGGATATTACAATGTACATTGTGGTAAATAAATCTAAGGCAAAGTGAGACTGGCATAATGTAAAAACGAATATTAGCCTTGTTAGCATGTTTTATGATATCAAGTAGTTAGCTATCAAAAAGATACGAGTTGAAATGTACGCAGCAGCCGACTGTAGCTCTCTGCTGCGTTAGCATTAATCATAGCTACAAGATAGCAGGAGATTGCGCTACATTCTAAACAATAACACGTAAAATACATAATCTCACGACTCACCGGTGAGTAGGGGCAATTTACAGAGTCCGAGAGAGGATCCTTGGAGGTTATGAGGGTGGATCTGCAGTATTTAGGTTTTAATCAGTATCAAGCACTCGTAAGGTTTAACACAAATTACGCAGTGT